GTTACAGGTCAGATCTGTGGAGAGGCAACCCCGCTCACAGTCAGAATCCCTGTTTTTTTTCTAGGTATTTTTGAGCTATAAAACCACCTGTAATTGAACAAATATAAGGTAGAGTTGTTTAATGTCATACTGTGGAGTACTGCAGACAGAGCAATGACAAATGGACCCCCAACAAAAAAGTTACATAGTCCACCTTTAACTAAATTTTGATTCCACATAAAAATAAAAACGCTTTCCTTTGTTCGGTTTATTATTTTCAGCACAAAATAAAAAAGTAGTTTTGTTATTCTACCATGCGGTCTTCTGCTCGTGATCCCCCACAGTCCCGGCCGCGCAGTGTTGGTATTCACTTCATACTCCAGCGTAGTTCCCGTATCAGTGTGGGGCGGGTGGGGCGTGTGGGGGAGGGGTCCGCACCACCGCTGTCCTCTGCGTGAAGACGAGCTAACGAGACTCTGAAAGACAAGAGACACTTCCCATCTGCACCATTAACACTCACGTCCTGTTGTTTTAAGTGGGAGGAACGCGCTCTAATGGAGGACTACGGTTTTAAGGAGAAGTTGGGACAGCGCAGGAAGACGAACTGTGCCAAAAACACAGGGAGTCAAGCAAGGATAGAATACATTTACAAGGCACATGATTCACATAAAAGTAGCAGTTAATTCTTCTTATTATGGAATTTTACTCGCTTTTTTATCTGTGCTGTTTAGGTTGTAGAATTTGATGATGATTCAGCGATTAACAATTTAAAACTAAAAATAATGTGAGGTAAGACATGAGAACCTTTACTTGTGCCGCAATGGGGAAATTCTGGTTCTGATGTCTTTTCGAAATACATGACAAGGCTTATGACAAGAAGATAAAACTAGTGTTGTGGTCAAGAGCGCCCTAATCGAGACCAAGTCCTGACCACAGGGCCCCGAGCCCAGGACAAGGCCAAGACCTTTGAGGGTCGAGACCGAGACAAGACCGAGACTTCTGAAGGCCAAGACCGAGACAAGACAAAGACCACGGCCCATCGAGACCAAATCGAGAGAGCCCATCTGTGTAATTTCTGACATTTATTTGAATCGTATATATCAAGATTTTTATAACTCTATCACTATTTTATCACTTGTTGAGTGTCAGACCTCGAGATCAAGACAAGACCAAGTCCAAATGCCTTCAAGATCAAGACAAGACCAAGACAAGACCGCGACAAGACCAAATCCAAAAGTGGTTGAGTCCGAAACGAGACCAGAACAGCAAAAAAAAAAAGGTGGTCTCGAGTACTACAACACTTGATAAAATGCATTAATATAACTCTAGGTGAGATACACTGTTTTTGGAAGAAATATTCAAATTTATAATCCACAAATATTGAATTTCAGTGGCTCCACAACTTTGCTATATAAAACTTAGACTAAGGAAAGTAATGTCAAATTTGTGTCTGATGTGAGTATCTGTTTTCTCTCCTATTGGTCATATATTTGTTTGTCCTGGGATCCAGAATACACTCTTTTCCAGTACTTTACAAAGATGAGAGTCTGGTCACTGTTGAATTTCGCCGAGTTCAGATGGGCGTGATTGACAGGTGGATTAGCCAATCAGGGACACGTGGTCTGCCTATATCAAAATAAATACGGCTCATTCTGGATGGACTTGCCAGGTAACACATGTGCAGGTTTTGACCAAAAAAAAAATGGTCTGGAGGCTTAAAGGGGAGAGTGAGGGTCAGAGGAGAGGTGGGGTCTGGAGGACTAAAGGGGAGAGTTAGGGGGGAGGAAGGGTTAGAGTCGAGAAGTGTAAAGGGAAGAGTGAGGGGGAGGAGGTGGAGGGTCTGGCCTAAAAGGTAACCACACTTCAAGCTCCGCCCCTTTACCCTGTTGTCTGTATCAGAAACACATGACTGTGGCTCAGGACAGTCTTTCATGATGTCACCAACTACTTGGAATTTTACCAGAAAGCTGCAAATGTACCTAGTTTGCACTGACCTCACAAAAAAAAAATGACTAAAATCTGCAGAAAATGCTATTAAAACATTATATACACAGTTTAGTGGTGTGAAAGTTGAATTTAGTGTTTATTTTTACTTTTGTGCACGTAAACACACACCAAAACTCAGATCTAATATTGCATTATCGGATTATTGTAGTAATCTGTTTTTCCTAACCATATTAATGTAGCCAGTGTTTGAAAGGGCAGAGCGTGTAGTTCACAAAGCAGTGCTGGTCTTTATGGTACAATATAAAGCACATTTAGCAGCAATAAAAGCCAAAAGTCCTGTGTGAATTCAGCCCATTAACCTTTTACAAACCGAATAAACCGAGGCCACCAGACACTTGATCTGTGCTGTTGGGGGCACGCTCACATCAGCGGCGCACACAGGGACCCAGACGAACACTTGACCTATCTTCCAATTAACAATTATATTTTACTGAAACAAACCATAACATTTGTCCAAGTAAATGAATTATGGGCAGAGGTAGGTGCTCCGTTATTTTGAAACCCATGGGTAGTTTTCTGGATAAATACAACAACGTATGGTGTTATTACTTCTTACTAGGGTTGCACAACATAGTAAAAGGATGCGATATTCAATCCATTTTAGCATTATTGTGATTTTGTTAAAGGTTGTATGGAGGATTTTTTTTGTTTCAAATTGTCAATGATAGCATTATAGAGGTGCAGTAGCCTTGTAATTATGATGACCAAAAAAAGAGAATAAAAATTCATCAACTCGTGGTGGGGCTAAACATTTGCCAATAGATAAGGACACTGCCTCGTTATCTGTTAGCTGAGAGGCTGTCAATCAAACTCCCTACATTTCTAGCGTAACTGACTTGCCTGCACGCTGCCATTACGTGGTTTACGTACGACTGTCACGCAGTCCACAGACGCTGTTTACTCCACAAACGCAACAGTTCTTAGCGGCTTTTTTGACCTATATCTTCCTCGCAGTTAGCACAAAGTTTGTTGCAATGGCAGACAAGAATCCAGGAGCAGTTAGCAACAAAAGAAAGTCAGTTTTTGAGGTCGCTGAAAGAAGAAGACAAGGGGAAAAGCAGCAAAGCCAAACTAAGGTGATTCTTGGAGATTCATTCCAGCGATGGCGCAACTGAAGCAGACGCAGGGTCTAAAGACTGACGCATTGGTCCACAAATTACTTCTGGACAGGAAACTTCTGCTTATTATGAAAACGTACTTTATTTCCAAGAGCAAGACAAATGTTTTTCAGGACATGAATGCGATATCCTATGTCTGAAAACGTAATTTTCAAGGCAAAGAAAGAGTCCGCTTGCCGCTGCGTGTTGTAGCTAGTTCATTCGCACTGAATCTCCGCGCACCCTTCTCTGCACCCCTTTCCTGCTCCTCTCCCCGCTGCCCGTTCTGCTCTTCTCCCTGCTCCTCACTTCTCTGCGCACCGCTCCCCTCTCCTCTCTCCTCTCCTCGCTCCCCGCTCCGCTCTTCTCCCTGCTCCTCACTTCTTGTCCGCGCACGAAATGTCTGCGCAAAAAACGACAAACAGTCGCTGGATTTCTCGTTCCTTGGAAAATCCTCTATACAACCTTTAATATATATATATTCAAAATAAAAAGTCTAAATAATAAAACTTTATGGAGACTAAACCAAGACCAACAAAAGTACTCATAGGTGCACTACGTAACATTTCTTATCCCCGTGGAGATATGATTACTTTGCCCTGAGTGCTTCACAGTAAAATATCAAATCTATCTAATTGGCATTAATTTAATTATGTGTGTTTAAATTGCTGAAAAAAAAGAAATACTTGGAAAGACTTACACTCATACTGGGAGAATCTAGAGGTTTGCCCTAGCCTGGTGCCATGACTTGCTCATTGCCACGGAAATACACAATTTTATACTGTGGAACATCATCTAGGCAAGGCAATAAGATTCCATGCAGACAAGCTGGTTACTAGTGTTGTAGTACTTGAGACCAGCCTTTTTTACGGTCTTGGTCTCATCTCGGACTCAAGTACATTTGGACTTGGTCTTGTTTCGGTCTTGCTGGCGCTTGGTCTCGGTCTTGTCTTGGACTTGAGGTCTGACGCTCGATGAGTGTGATCATATTTCATTACGGCCGGTAAATGTGCAGAGGCTGCTCAATATCACTGCAAAACCAGTAAGAGAATGTAACTGTAAATGTTATGAACGTGAAAAAACTCACTTGATTCACTTTGAAGTTGTTTTCTGTAAAGAGCCAGTGGAAGCAAAATTAAAGAAGAGGTTCTCAAACTGTGGTTCAGGGTCCAAAACAGGGGCACAGAGTGTTTCAGTGCAGAACAGTTTGTTTGGCTTATTTTAAGCCTAGATGAATATTAATCAGATCAAACATTGATATATATGTGTCAAAATAACTGTAACATACAAATAAATGCAGGAAATGACAAAGATGGTCTTGATTTGGTCTCGATAGGCCGTGGTTTTGGTCTTGTCTTGGTCTCAGCCTTTAAAAGTCTTGGGCTTGTTTTGGTCTCAGCCTTTAAAAGTCTTGGGCTTGTTTTGGTCTCAGCCTTTAAAAGTCTTGGTCTCGTTTCGGTCTCAGCCTTTAAACGTCTTGGTCTTGTTTCGGTCTCGACCCTCAGAGGTCTTGGTCTTGTCTCGGTCACCCCTGTGGTCTTGGACAGGTCTTGGTCTTGATTAGTGCGCTCTTGCGTACAACACAAAAAGTTACACAGTACATCTAATTCAAATAATTAATCACATTGTCAAATTTACCCCCCGGCCCAGTATATTTGCAAAAAATATTTCCGTAAAAGGGAATTAATTTAGTCTTCTTGTGTTGAAAATGGGAATCTAAACAGTGTAATTCTGTTTGACTGTTGGACAAAGCTCCTCAGATGGATGGACATCAGCACAAGACCACCGGCCAATCTAAGCACAAATCACTTTGTTTAGCTAACGCATTGAACTAATTGCCCTACCGTGTGGTTGTATTTATACTCCATTGTAATATTTACTCCTCGTGATAATATTTGTGCTGTGTACTGTTTACAGGTACAGGAGCTGGTGGAGGACATAAAGCATTCTCTGGACCTACGCCTCCAAGAGCTCGACTGGATGGACGACGCCACCAAAGACGCAGCCAGAGCCAAGGTTTAGTATCACAACTCACACACAGGCCTGTCATGAGAATTACTATATACACTTATCATTCAGTATATGAAAACTGAAACTATATATTTTAGGGTTCAATATTTATACAATTTATTTGCAAAAATGGGGAGATTTTTTGTTATTTTGTTATAATATGATAGATCTGAGCTGTAGAGGGTTGAAAAAGTAAATTCTATGACTCTGCTATATATTTGTTGCAGCACAGGCCTTTTACTGATATTTAAAAATGTTTTAGTGGGATTATCTTGCTTTATTGTTAGTGTGACAGTATTTTCTATATTATCGTTTATCTCTGTAGTGATATATCGTACTTCAAAATTTGTTATCATGAGGAGATTTATTGCTTTACCTGCATGTTCTACTGTATGGTATTAAAGGTACACTGTGTAACTTTTCTGGAGTAGGGTCCGTCACCTGCTTCCCTGCATGGAGGTATTGCCTGGAATGTTCCACAGTATGGCCTTACACTTATTTATCTCTATGGAGGTCACACCACATGGCCAAGTTACAGTAAGAATTCAAATTTTTAGGTAAATGCAAGATGGATACATTTAATGCCATACCAGAACATTCCAGACAAGATAATCTCCATGGAGACAAGCAGGTGGCAGACCCTCCACTAGAAAAGTTACACATTGCACCTTTAAATTAGAATCAGAAAAGCCTTACTGCCATGGTCAGTGAACAAAAATCAGTAATTGCTTTGTCAATATGGTGCTACATAAACCAATTAATAAAAGGTAAAATATAAATTTTTTTTATCTTTGCTGATGTCACTAGGTCATGTTACAGGTAAGATCTGTGGAGAAGCAAGTTTGCTCACCGTAAGAATGAACTCATTTAATTTCGAAGGTACATTAACAAGCTGCTTACTAAAGCCAAACTAACAATAGGTTTTCTATCGACATAAAAACTGTTTCACACGCCTCACAAAAGAGCATTAGAAACACAGTCATCCCAATTGACCATGGAGACTTACAGATCTGCATCAAAAACACTGCTCCATAAGCTCCATGTGCTTTATCACGCAGCCATCTCCTTTGTCACAGGTGCACCAGTTTCATTTCTCTCCAGTGTCTAGGTCAGGAATCAGATTACACTAGACGGTTTGCAAGAACCCAGGAAGTTGTAGACCGCACACCTGCCAATCAGCAAAGAGCTGTGTAGTCATGACGTCAAATACAAGCACCTGTCTGGGTCCCTTTGTGGTACAGCACAACAGTAACCAAAGCGGTCGAGACAGATGTAGGCGAAGACAGACATTCTGTGTTGGCAATGATTCCTGAAATTGAGGATTTAAAACTGAAATAAAGAGAATGTTTGGTGAATTTTATCAAGGGGAAAGACGTTATTGTCCTTCTTCCTTCCCATTCCTAGTAACTCACCAAGGTATTTCTGAACAATACATAATGTGCTGAATAAGTAAAATTTGATTTATTACCATTGTAAATCTTCCATATTAATGCCCAGTTTTGTGCACTAATAATGAATAATGGTTTATATGTTATCTATCTAACTGTCCCTAATCTAAAGGCTGTGGCTCTTATATTTACTACATTTCTTGCAACTGTTAAAATAAGTAGCTCTTTGGCATTTTTGTTTTGTAAAGGCTCATCAGAGGAAAAAGGTTCTAGATCTGCTTAGAGGCCCTCTCTCTCTAAATGAGCTTCGGCCGGTCACCCAGCAGCTCCTGGTGGCTCTGGATGCCCTGGGCAGAGCTGGGATCGTACACTCTGACCTAAAGCCAGACAACGTGATGCTGGTCAACCAAAAGGACCCACCATTCAAAGTCAAGCTCATTGACTTCACAGAGGTCATCCAGCCGTTAGAGTACAGAGCACCAGAGGTCAGTCTGGGCTGCCCGATGTCTGAGGCCATGGACATGTGGTCTCTGGGCTGTACACTGGGGAAGTGTATCCTTGGTCAGGTTCTTTTCCAAGGGGGCTCATACTACAACAATCTGAGATCCATCTTCAACCTGCTGGGACATGCCAGCCCACGACTACTGAGGAGAGGTAGTGTCACCCACCATTACTTCATCCCCACAAACAGCTGTAACCAGTGGAGGTTTAAGACCATAGATGAGTACCTGCGCACAGGAGGGGAGGAGATCCACTGGGACATGTCCAGAATTTATATAGCGCTTTTATGAGTGAGCTTTCTCCCAGGCAAGAGGACCAGGAGGAACACCGAAGACAGAAAGGCCTTCATGGACCTCCTCAAGAGACTCCTGCAGCCAGACCCTGACTTTAGGATCAGTCCCAGAGACGCGCTCACACACGACTTTGTTACACTGGAGCACCTGGAGGTGAAGGACAGCCAGTACAGTGAGCTGGCACACGTCACCATGACTATTGCTCTGCAGGAGCTCACTGTGCCTCAGGTGAGCCCTCAGACCAGCCCTGACCTGCAGCACCCTCCTGTGACAATAACAGAGAGTCCTGGCTCCTCTCTGATCTTTGGAGGAGACACTGACCTCAAACATAACCACAGGGAAGTGACTCCACCACCGCCTGTCGCTGCAGCCCCCAGTGTGGACGTCATCATTGATATAGATCCTGTTTGCAATGGGTTCATTCAAATAAGTGACACCCAAAGACCAGAGAGCTCAGACAGAACCCCCAGAGCCTCTGATAAACCACGAGACTATCCAGTCCTGCTCCACCAGACCTCAGCATTAACATGGATTTTATAGACCCAGAGCCAACACAAAAAGAAGCCCATGCAGATACAAGTGTCCATCAACATTCCTGAGGACACCACACCTGAGGACGCCCCCAAACATACCCCCCCGATCACTCTGCGGGTCAAGAGGAGAGACCACTCTCTCCCCCTCAAGGCTCTGCGGGTCCAGAGGAGAGCTCAGACCCTGAGCGCTCTGGTGGCTCTGGTTGGGGGCTGTATAAAAGCTTAGCTTTTGGAGGCCTGTTAGCAGGACAGGGCCTACTCTGCTTACTGCCTGACCGAGGCTCCACTGGTCACTGCAGCTGCAGTTGTGCCCACTTTCCTTTGGGGCTGTGCTGATATGTATTTCTCAAAGAAAAAGTCGCCAATGTAAAGTCGACAGCTATGGAGTACGAAAGCACAGCAGCAACTTAAAAATAAATAAATAAAATTTAAAAAGCAAACTTTAAAGTCCCCCTCATTAATTCTTCTTTTATTAACATTTGTATCATTACGTCTGTGTGTCTGTACTCGACCCCCCATGTTGAGTAAAACTTGTTTCGCCGCATTACAGATATACTGTATAAGCATCTCCTACTGCAAATTTCACTCACAGCAAAACTCTGGCTGATCTCTGAGAATCGTGAAAAGCATTTATAAACCCTTTGTGGTGATCATTAGGATGTTCAGAATGCATAAGGGAAGTGAGGAATAACTTTGGAATGTTTAAAATGAACTTGTTCTGTTTTTCATGTTTTTAAGATGTAAGAATCAGGCACAGTGCCTTTAACAGACAGATTGAAACCTATAAAAACATGATAAAAGTTTATTACAGAGTAAGACTGCACAAGAATATTAGATGAAAATACTACTTGAAGATAAATGTGGCTAAAAACAATACATACTAGCTTTGACGTTGTGAGACCGGCTGAGATGTGAATGACATAAAAGACAGCAGGGGAGGTTTTAGATGAAGTAACAAAATAATGTTTCATAATCATAATGTAGGATCTGATCTGGATTTTGGATGAGGTTGAGAGACTTCCCCACAGGTAGGGCGCTTTCACACTTGTGTTTACATTTAGTGTGAGTTTTAGGATTTCCCTGTTTGGAGTCCAGTGTAATGTAAGTGCCAAACATCAGACTTCTCCTGGACTTTGGAGTAAATCCAGGAAATGACACGTGTTCTCCCGGTGCCCCATTCACATGTTCTCCCTGTGCCTGTGGAGGGTTCCTCTAACTCTGTAGGGCCAGGACAGTTCCGGAAAAAGACCTTCTTAATCTGATCAGGACTGTCCTGGTTAGATACATGTGAATATAGTTTGGAACTAAACTAAATTGTACTTGATTTGTGACAGAGCTTAAGTACAGTCTAGTCTAGGGTGACCAGACATCCGTATTTACCCGGGACATTCCCAGTTTTGAGTCCTGTGTCCCCAGCAGATTTTGCCAAAACAATGTTGCCAGATTGGGCGGGCAGATAATATTTGGGCATTTTTTGTTTTCACGCCAATCAATGTGATACACAATAACACAAGGAAATGTATTTCTCTCCTGTCCCCCCCCCTTCACCCCTTGTTTCCCCCATTTTCTACAGTGTTACTTTTTATTTGTTTGTAGAGCACCCTTGAGTGTCCAGAAAAGCCCTATGTAATTAGGTCCAATGTATTTTTTTATTATTATTATTATTATTATTATTATTTAAAAGATGCCTAGGCCATGATGTTTAATAATGTGGACATTAACAACCATGTTAAATATCCAGTGTGCCTTATGGAATGTTGAGAGGAGCCTAACATTCTATTGAGGTTCTGGGCCTGTTGGTGATAATGAAATCATCACAGATCCATTGATTTTGGTTGGATATTTATAATTTTTTTCTGTGGAATGAGTCTGTTGTTTGGTGAAAAGAATGGCATATTTGCTGATGTCAAAACTTGGGGAAATAGTTGATTGCCAGTGAGGTAAAAATGAAAATACTGGAAAAAAGTGAAAAAACGCCTTTTTTTTTTTGCATTAAATTGAGCCAAAATCATGTAGAAATGTGTTTTAAGAATTATTTTTTCACTGAATGTTGTCACCACATGTGTTCTTTGCATCTAGAATACATTTATAGACAGCTTACCCCAACCCACTGAGGATTTGAGGAAATATTTCAGTTTTCAATATTTTCTATCAAAAAATGAAGGTTATATACACTAAAATGGCCACAAATTTTTTTCGCGATATTTCTGGAAGAGCAGACCCTCCAATTATTGGTCCTTAGGGTCACAGTTAACAAAAAAAACACAAATAAAAAGTATGGCAGACGATGTCAGGTTCAACCCATTTTCTAGAGCTTTTGAGACTCCCGACTATAAGGGATTTGGCGCATTACAAATGTCACGACCAAATAGCAGTGAGTGGTTAAATTAAAAAAGTACCTGCCTACTATCAAGCAAACAAATCCCAATGCTGTGAGATCAGACGGTTTCCACGAAGTGAAACAGCTGATGACTCAGGCTACCATTTACCACCATCACTGCACCCTCTCTCCACACCTGCAGACAAACCCCCTGGTTTTTGTTCATTTATAAATGTTTAACTGTTAAAACTCCATCCTACCTCAGGTCACTACTGCACATCCACAGCTCCAGACGCACACTGCGCTCCAACAGATACATGACCCTGGTCTTTCCTAAAGCCCGCACAGCTTTGGGCAGCTCCTCATTTCAGTTCTGCAGCAAGTGACTGGAACCACCTTCAACACATTTTTAAACTTAGTTCATTTTTATCTCTGTCGACTTTTAAAAATTCCATCCAGAATATTTTACAGGATCATTGCACATGTTTTTAACACTTTTATGCCTTTAATCTGCAAATGTTTCACTGTCTTGTGTCTTTATTCACTGTTTCATGTTATAGTTGACGTGTGAGTGTATTGTGTTAGTTTGAGCAATGAAAACACCTACAATGAAATGAATGCAAGATAGATTGGTTTTAATGCCATACTCTGGAACATTGCAGGGAAAACAGTAACATCTCCTCAGAGACAAGCCGTTAGCCAATCCTTCATTTACATAGTTCATAGGTGTATTGTGTAAATTTTCTGTGGAGGGTTCGTCACCTCCTTGTTTCTATGGAGATGTCATTGCTCTGCCTGGAATGTTCCACAGTATGACATTAAACAGCTTTACTTTACATTTATTCAACTACAGGTGGTTTTATAGCTCAAAATACTTCGAAAAATAGACATTCTGACTGTGAGCGGGGTCGCCCCTCCATAGATCTGACCTGTAACTTGGTCTGCTTTGTTCTCCATGAAGATAGAAAGGTTTAAATTTATACTGTGAAACATTCCAGGCAAAGCAGTAACATTTTCATATAGAGAAAAGCATTTGACAGAGATCTCCACCAGAAATGTTACACAATCCACCTTTAACCAGAACTATATCAAAAGTATGATCCAAGTCAAAGGCGGGACTATGAAATAAAGTTGAATAATATCAAATCAAATCAGTGTTCTACAGTGACTCTGCCTCTTCAGCACATCTGTCCAAAGCCATCAGTATTAGTAATAAGATTCAATTATACTTTTCTTTTCTGTGAGGAGATTTTGAGTGGCGAGATGGGCTCCTCTGATGGGTCTGACATTGAGAAGTGAAGACCTCGTAATCCAAATCCTCCTGCACAGTTGTGATTCGGGGCTGCTCTGTCAGATACCCCTCTAATACTTTTACAATACGCTGTTATAATCCCGTTAAGAGGGCCATGCTGAATATAAAGAGCTTGCCTGTAATCCCATTTCACTGGGTTTGCCTGATTAGTCCATTTGTGTGTACAGGGGGAAGGGAGGGCTCGCTGCAGTGTCCAATACCAGTGTATACAGTACACACTCTGTTAGTGTAAGGTTGTGTGAAGTTGTATAGACAAGCTCATATGAATAGTAGAGTGCGGTGAAGACATGCTCCACTGGTGGTTACATTATCAAAACCTTTTCACCAAAAGAAGAAACTTGCTTTTGTAGTCGTTCTTTGAGCAACATTGTACACAAAATGCATTCATTGCTTTTAAAGGTACACTATAGGAATGTAACAACAATCGAAATATTGTGATATTGTATCGTTAGGAGTCTCACAATAATATCGAGAGGTCACAATATATCGAATTACAAGTTCCTTTGCTTAAATGCATGGTTTTATAGTAGCAACAGCCAAAAAAAAACATAAGGAACTACACATCCCATGATTCATTTCAGTGTAAACAACGTGAAGAAATACATTTTTTACTTGAATTCTTGGGATTATGATAGTAATGGTTCGCATCTAAGTCTTGTCAATGTATTTTTAAATGCAAAAAGTATCCTGTGTACAATTATATTAACCACTCCAAAATATAAGTTGTATAATATAAGTTGCTGAAACAGTACATACTCGATACATAGGCCACGATATGATACATATTTCAAAATGATTCGATACGGTTCAATAAAAAATAAAGGCTGTGATACCAAAAGTCTTTGTTAAACCACTTGTTGTGCAAAATTCTTATGAAAAAAGTGAATTTTAATCATTGAAACAGTGAAAATGTCAAATGTGTTGCATAAACGATTTTCCTTCCTCCAAAGAAGCAACAAAACTGTAGCTCTATAACAAAATAATTCAGTAAAATACACCAAAATATACTCTTGGCGATATATCGATACAGCAGAGCACGATATTGATACTGTATCATCACATTAAACGAAACGATATATCGGTATTTTGATATTTTTGCACACCCCTACTTTTGATTAGCCAAACTGGCACCTCATTTCTCTCCAGCGACTGGGTCAGGAATCAGAATACACTAGACGATTTGCAAAAACCCCAGAAGTGCGAGTTCGGGCACCAGCCAATCAGCGAAGAGCCATACAGTCTGTGTTGGCAACGATTCCCGAGATCGAGGATTGAAAACCAGAACAAAGAGAATGTTCAAGTCTCAGAATAACATCGAGAGTGGTCACAATATATCGAATTACAATTTCCTTGGGTTAAATGCATTGTTTTATAGTAGCAACAGCTAAAAAAACATAAGGAACTCCATATCCCATGATTCATTTCAGTGTAAACATGAAAAGTATGTTTTTTACTTGAATTCTTGGGATTATGATAGTAATTATTCACATCTAAGTCTTGTCAATGTATTTTAAATGCAAAAAGTATCCTGTGTACAATATATTAACCACTCCAAAATATTGCAATAAATATCATACCATGAAATGAGTATCGTGATAATATCGTACCATGAGATTTGGATGTCGTTACATCCCTAGTACACTATAGTTAGTTAGTTCAAATACACATACAAATCCACTTTATTTCTCTAGCGCATTTTACAAACAAAGCGGTTTCCAAAGTGCTGCACAGAGATCATAAAATGAAGACAACAAAAAAGTAAATAGCTAAAATTGGTCATAACTGTTCTAAAAAACAATAAAACCAGTAAAAGCAAATAAAAGCGAAACCAAATAAGTAAAATAAATAAAAGACACAGAGGACCACCAACTCACATGGTGTTAAAAGTCAGAGAATAGTGAGAAAGTGGGTTTTAAGACGAGAGTTAAAACACTCCACTGTAGGGGCTGTTCGGATGTTGAGGGGCAGAGCGTTCCAGAGTTTGGGGCCAGCTACAGAGAAGGTCCTGTCCTTCTGGTTTTAAGTCTCATCTCAGGCCCCATGAGGTTTAGTTGGCCCTCGGATCTGAGAGCGCGCTGGTGTAAATCTGGATGAGGTTAGTTACATTTTCTTCGGCCAGTTGCTTTTAGGTTCGCTTTGTAACTTTTCTGATGAAAGATCTGTCACCTCTAACCATCGATCAAACCAACCACTGCTGTCTGATTTCTGGACTTTAAGATGATCTAAATGACATGAAAACTGCCAAATCTGAAGAGAGTGATCTGAGGGACCATGATCAGGAAGAAACTATAGGTGATTTTGATATTTGCAAGTCATTTTAATCATCTTTGAACATCAAATTCAGTGTGCATGTAAACACAGTCACAATAAATAAATAAAGAAAGAAATAGATAGTATTTTTATTTCTCATATATAAATTGAAAAACATGCATTCTCGCAGTGAGTGGGACCACCTTTCCCCAGATGTGTCCAGTAACTTGGCCTGGTGGCTTCTCTCTGCGGATATTGGTGAATTTAATGCCATACTGTGCAACATTCTACACAAAGCAATAATATCTCCATGGATTAGGGATGGGCATTCGATGAAATTTTATTAATCGATTGTCGGGAGAATTAACAGTAGATTTTCGATTACTCATTAGCGTTTTTATATAATAAGTATCATCATTATTATTACTATTATTAATCTGCATAAATAAACTCAACTTTACAACATATAAACCATAACCACTCTAGAGCCACATCAGTCCGTTTGACGTTATAATGTGTTTAATGCAGCTTTGCACAAGTAGAAATGAAACTTAAAACCGTATGCCTAATTTGCATAAACTAATCGAAGAAAAAAACGCTCTTGTGCACTGATGCGGTTCAGCTTTTTTCGGACTAAAGGACACGACTCAATGAAATATATGTGTTCTCTCTGTGACAGAAGGATGTTGATGCTGATGGTGAGTCTGTTCTGTGTGTGTGCTTGTTGCGATGTTTTCAAAGATCGTACGTGTGCGGGTTTAGCACGGCTCTTTATGTTGCAGTAACAGGGATACTGCCTTTACATGCACCGTGACGAAACCGGGACACTGATGTGCATGTAAACACACTCACTGAGCGGTACAGTGTCTCCAAGGAGGTGCCAGAGCCCAAACGTGGGACTGTGAGGCCACAACTCCAGTGTTTGTGCTGTCAGACGCAGCTTCATATCGACGCCCAGAAACTTACATTCTTTTTGTGGATTAGAAATGAACGTAATCGACAAAATTCTTAATGATCAGTCATCGATTAGTCGACTAATCACGCCCATCCCTACCATGGATCATAGTTACATCTTTAACAAACACAATAAAAGCACAATCTGCCTTTGTACTAGGTAAAAACGTGATATATATTTGTACATAGATGTTACCAACAAAACGAACACACCACATTTAGGCAATGCATCGAAATGGTAAAAAACTTTTAGGCTGACTTATTTGGAGTCACAACACTATTTTTGTTCAGTTCTTGTTTATAAATCTCCAAATCTTTCTATCTCCGCCCTTCTCTTTCTCCCCCCTCTTCTCCTGTCCCTCTCTCTGTCTGCAGTTGAAGCACATGATGGTGATGACTGGATACCCAGACTTCCTGCTCAAGCCTGAACTCATAGATCAAGAATATGGGGTGAGTCACAGACACGAGGCTCTGTCCAGTCTGCAGCCTCCGCCACATCCTAATGTCCAAACACGACCAGCACAAACACTGTAGCGCCTCTCTCTCTCTCTCTCTCTCTCTCTCTCTCTCTCTCTCTCTCTCTCTCCCTCTCTCTTTCTCTGTCTCTCCCCATCTCTGTCTTTGTCTCTCTCTCTCTCTCTCTGTTGCTCACTCTATCCCTCTCTCTCTTTTTCTATCACCTTGTCTCTCTCAGTGTTTCTCCTTCACCCCCACCGCACTTTTACTCTTGCTCTTCTTCTCTATTTCTCCTCCTTTCCCTCTCCCTTTCTCTCTCCCTCCTCCCACTCTCTTTGTGTCTGTCTCTCTCTCTTCTCTTTCTGTCTCACTCTCCCTCTCTGTCTCTCTCTCTCTCTCTCCCTTGTCTTCTCTCTCTGTCTCGCTCTCCCTCCTCCTCTCTCTCTCTCTCTCTGTCTTTCTCTCTCTTTTCTTTCTGTCTCGCTCTCCCTCTCTCTCTCCGTCTGTGTCTGTCTCTCTCTCTCTCCTCTCTCCTTGTCTCTCTCTCCTTTGTCTTCTCTCTCTGTCTGTCTCTCTCCCTCCTCCCTCTCTCTCTGTGTCTCTCTCTCCCTTGTCTTCTCTGTCTTCTCTCTCTCCCTCTCTCTCTCTCTCTCTGTGTCTCTCTCTCCTCTTTCTCTCCTCACTGTCTGTCTCTCTCTCTCCCCTCTCTCTTCTCTCTTCTCTCTCTTCTCTCTCCTCTCTCTCTCCGTCTGTGTCTCTCTCTTTCTCCCTTGTCTCTCTCTCCCTTGTCTTCTCTCTCTTTCTGTCTCTCTCCCTTCCTCCCTCTCTCTGTCTGTCTCTCTTTCTCCCATTCCATTTCCTCTCCTCTCTCTCCCTTCCTCTCTCGTTTCCTCTCCTTGCGCTCTCTCGCTTTCTTAATATCTGGGGAGTGCTTTTCTATTTGCCATTATCATGCATCCTTGTTGATTGCATTCAGCTCCTGCTAAAACAGACTGTACAAAGGGACTAACACAGAGTAAATATAATGCAGTGGATACAAGACGGACTATTTATAATGAACTGAGCTTGAATCTGTCCAATAATAATAATTAAGTGCACAGTTAAAGAGAGAGGGAGAGCTCATTAAATACTGAACGTGTCTAGAATCGCCCAAGTGAGCTCAGACCTCTGCAAAGGCACTGGCCCCATCATGCAGTCACAGTAGTAAGGAGATAGTAAGTAGATAGATAATATTAGTAGATAGTAATAGTATTTAGTAGTATAGTAGACTGGAGGTACCTTTCGAAGCGGGTCTGGCACGCCGGGTCACAGGGGGTGGAGCTAGACATGTGATGTGAGCACGAGCAGCACGCCAATAGTGACGCACGAGTGGCAAAATGTAAATAGCATGAACCTTGTAATGCCTCGTTCACGCACATTTTAGCACAGTTTTTTGTTTAGGGCTTTGCATCATTAAGAACTTGCTGATTCGATACATATCGCGATACATAGTCCACAATACGATTCATATCTTGATACAGTGCACTTCAAAACGATACGATATATTTCAAAATGATTCGATACTGTTCAATAAAAAATAAAGGCTAAATCATGGCTGTGATACCAAAAGTCTTTGTTAAACCACTTCTTGTGCAAAGTTCATATGAAAAAAGCACAATTTTGATCATCAAAACAATGAAACTGTCAATTGTGTCGTATAAATGATTTTCCTTCCTCCAAATAAGCAACCAAACTGTAGCTCTGTAACAAAATAATTTAGTAAAATAAACCAAAAAATACTATTGGCGATATATCGATACAGCTTAATACTGGATCATCACATTAAACGATATGATATAATGATATTTTGATATTTTTTCACACTCCTACTTTTGACTAGCCAGGCTGGTGCCACCTAGTGCCTCTGCTCAAATTCATTTCTCTCCAGCGACTATGTCAGGAATTGGAATACACTAGACCAGGGGTCGGCAACCCACGGATCCGGAGCCGCATGCGGCTCTTTAGCACTCCCCTAGTGGCTCCCTGGAGCTTTTTCAAAAATGAGAGAAAATGGAAAAGGAATGATTTTTTTGGTTGTTGTTTTAATATGGTTTGTTTAGGGGTAAAACCCTCGTTCATCTCTGGTCATGGATCTGATCCATCAGCTGTGTGCAAATGCAAAGACATTAAAAGTGTTTCAGCAGAACAAACAGATGAGCTGAAGCGGGGGGTGGTGTCCAGTGCCTCTACCTGAGAAGCGTTTTTCCTGGAAAAAACAAAAAAAACAAAAACACGTGCGCAGACAGACCGCTCAGAACAATATATAACGAACCAAATGGGATTCACGCTTCTGTCCGGATGCTTTGCACCACCTCGAAACCAGCCGCGGTCGAGCGTGGAGGACCAGAGCAGCCCGCAGAGAACCAGCGCACAGAAAACGACACGGAACCGCTCGCTCCCGTCTGGAACCAGGACATGGAGGACGAAGCCTCCGGACCATCTGACCAACACTGGACCCCCAGCCCTGTCTTGAGGGGCTTCGCGCTGACTACTCCCGTGTTTGGCGCTTTTGCTCCGGGCTGATGTTGCGTACAAAGTTCTACATGCTGCTGTTTTATGAGTGCTCCTATGCACGATCAGAAGAAATGCGACTGCTGCTCTGAATACTTCCATCATCGTCGTCAAAGCAACAGGTAAATGTCAGTCGCACTTTCAGCGCGTCAGCTCCTAAAACTCCGTTTATCTCAGTTTACACGCAAACGTGAAACCGGAGTCTTTAGAAAGATTCGTTTTCAGAGGCGAATTCACCATTTGCGTGTAAACGATGTGAACAAACGAAGGGAAATGTCTCCGTTTTTAAAAATACCCTTGTACGTGTAAACGGGGCCTAAATGACAAAGGAATAAACACTAACAACCTGATTTCAGTGGCTACAGACGGCGCACCGAGTATGAGCGGGTCGCAAAAGGGGTTTGTGTAATCATGAATGCTCATTTTGTATTTGTAGCCTACTTAGTCATTTTAATATACTGACAGCCTATGTTGCCTTCATATTAGGCTTATATAAGGCTTTTAATTTTTTGCGGCTCCAGGCAGGTATGGTTTTTGTTTTTTTGGGCCAATATGGCTCTTTGAACATTTTGGGTTGCCGACCCCTGCACTAGACGGTTCGCAAAAACCTCAGAAGTGTGACCAGTACCAGTCAATCAGCGAAGAGCCATACATTCTGTGTTGGCAACGATTAGCGAGATCAAGGATTTAAAGTCGGAACAAAGAGAATGTTTGGTGAATTGTATCAAGGGGAAAGACGTTATTGTCCTTCTTCCTGCAGGATTTGGGAAAAGTTTAATATATATATCAGTTAGCCCCGTTAGCGGTGCATTACATTTGTCTCGACCAAATAAAAGCGATTGATTAAATGAAAAAAAGTACCCGCCTACTGTTGAGCGAACAAATTTTCATGCTGTGAGGTCAGACAGTTTCTACAAAGTGAAACTGGCTGATGAATCAGGCTAACTTTTACAGCTGACTCATGGCAGGTCTACGTCACCTATTGGGTGTGTCTTATAGACCTGTGTCACATCCACAGCAGCCTGGGCCAATTGTCATGGAAACATTCCCTGTGTGAGGGATATGGCGGCCTCAAGCAAACTGTGCCAGTGCCAGTTAAGAGTCTCTTAATTACATCCTTGCTTCAATATTGACACATAAAACTGACAAATAAAACAAGATCAACTATTGCACATGAATAGACAGATAGACGGATAGACATATAGATAGACAGATATAATATCAGTATTGTAAAATTAACTTGTAACCTCATTGTGTCAGTGTGAGGCGTGTTAACACAGGAGCTGGGGAGCAGCTCAAGGCTCATGCAAGAACTGAACTGCGCCTTTAGCAACAGTGTAATAAAAATAAATACATTCATTATCACTATTAGGACAAGATTATACTGTATGTTTAATGTGGAAATGTTCTCACTATTTACACGATCATAAACCAAAAGATTCTCCAGTCTGTTGTTGAAGTTTTACAAACATCTGCTTAAGTTTAGATCCTGCTCAGTCCAGATGTGTCTGACTAATTGATAGGAAGTTTCATTTTTAACTAAATTGTCACAGAAAAATGGAAACAGAAGACATATTTCAGAATGGTGTGTTGACAGTGTTAGGGCAATTTACTATAAGTTTGTTTGTAATGAGCTTGACATTGATTTCATCATTAACATTGATTTGACTTTGCGTATTCCTGTATTTTACATTTTGTGTTTTCACAGTTTGATGTGGACGAGAAAACTTACTTTAAGAACATCCTGAACAGCATCAAGTTCAACATCAAGTTATCAGTGAAGAAGATCCATGAAGAAGTGGACAAAACTATGTAAGTCTCAAATTGTTAGTTAGTTAGTTAGTTATTTTATTTCAAACCCGCACATACAATTCACAACATCACAATACAAATGCAGATACAAACATGCAGGGTTTGAAAAATTGTGTCAGTCAATCAACCAGCATTCTAAATTATAAATCAATTATAATATATTTTTACTCACTATTATCTCAGAAATCTGACACATGATAATGGAGGATAGGAAATGTGTACTGTAATTTCAGGACTATTACTACTTTGACTACATATACAGGCCGCACCTGAATAGAAGCTGCAGGTGTCCATGTCTTCAAGAATGTTTTCAAGTCTAGACCATCTGCTTTTATCGCCTCTGAAAGCTTTTGTCGTCTTTTTGCATTGAGTTTGTTCATCACACTGCTGTCGCCAAAATCCCTAGACCGTATCGTAAATATGATTGAACAATGTCTCCAAACAAAGAATCCGTCCATATATTAGCCGCATCATTTTAAGCCACATGGTTCAAAGTGTGAGAAAAAAGTAGCGGCTTATACTCCAGAAATTACAGTACTTTCTTTAAGTACATTTTGGAAACCTAACTCATCTGTGGCTGAATCAGGCTGGACAAAATGTAAACAGACTATTGACAGGAATAGATTTTGCAACAGAACACTGGGTAAAGCTTTGTTGCATTTACCAATAATGTTACTATAATATAATAAAATGTAGTTGTATAAAATAATCATTCACTGCACACTCGGTGGTGGTAAAACACTACTGTAGCCACAGCTGCCCTGGGACAGACTAACAGAAGTGAGTCTGTCCTATCTGTGCCATCACAACTCTCCGACCACCATGTGTATTGTGGCCACCAGCTTGTCAAAGCCTGATCTCACCAGATGTCAGAAGCTAAACAAGGCCAGGCCTGGGTAATACGGATGGGAGACCACTGGGAAAATGAGGTTGTTGTGTCCTTAGGCAAGGTACTTCACCCACATTGTCTAGTATGAAAGTGGTGTGTGTGTGAGTGGTGGAATGAATGAAGAAATGAATAATGATCTATAAAGTGTCTTTGAGTGTCCGGAAAAGCTCTATATAAAACTGATGCATTATTATTGTTATTATTATTATTATTATTATTAGTAGTAGTAGTAGTAGTAGTAGTAGTAGTAGTAGTAGTAGTAGTAGTAGTAGTAGTAGTAGTAGTAGTAGTAGTAGTAGTAGTAGTAATAGTAGTAGTAGTATGATTAGTATTATTATTAGTAGTAATATTATTACTACCAGCACTCACACACCACACACCGTGCCAGGAAATGTGGGTGAAGTGTCTTGCCTAAGGACACAACAACAGTTTACACCTAATATGTCCAGCGCTCTTATCCAAAAGGATTAACCAGACATAACTCTGCTTAGCTTCTGAAATCAGATGTGATTGGCCAGACACTGAAGAGGAGTTTATTTTTAAATCTTTACACATCAAATATGTAATTTGGAGAACATTTTACTCACTTTTTGACAGAATCCTCAAGTATGTGTGCGAGTGGTTGTAAAAGACGCCATGTTTGACAGGAGTAAAACATGCTTGGGTGCATATTTACTGTAACACAGGCGCACTGAGGCTAATCCATCTGTGCACTTATCTGAGGCGTGCAGACTGAGGAGCACTGCTCTGGGACATGCTGCTCATATTTACACTGTACCATGACACTGTGCCTCTGACAACAAGATACTAGTCATTCTATCACCAGCCCACACACTGGAAACACCAGCATTTAAGTCCGCCTAGGGGAGGCTCTGGAGACATGGTTACATGCTAATTCACTGCTTTTCTCTTTAATGCAGCTCTATCCATGGCTTTCAGAATTATGGAAAAAATAGGGCCGTTGCCGTGGTGATTAACAATTCAAAACAAAGTATTTGGATATATTTTCAGAATGAGACAAAGTTCCTTGAATCCTCAAACACACATGGGTTCTGCCTTGCCCATTCACATCCTTTTGGCCCACCCCTGTCAGGCTTTGAGTGAGTGACAGGTGGATTTAACCAATCACAGTGAAGAAATCCGTGGCTTTATTACTTCTTAAAAAGGATATATGAAGCTAGTGAGTGTGAAACATAAATTCAAATCAAATTGAAATGACTTTTTTAGGAGGTCTGACATGTATCTGTTAATATTTAGATGTTATTGCTCTGACTGGAATGTTACACATTGTAGCATTAAACCTGTATTTATTCAATTACAGGTGTTTATGTTGCAAAAAAAAAAAGAATACATTTGGGCTCACTTCACCAGAGATCTGACCTGTAACTTGGAGTGCTTGTTTCTATGGCAACAGATGGTTTAATGCCATTCTGTGGATCATTCCAGGCATAGAAATAACATCTGGAGATGAAAAAAGAAAGCTGAACTTTGTCCGGTTGACAGAATTCAACCCTCTTTTGTTATGGACTGCGAGAGGACACAATATCATGATGGAGACAAACATGTGGCTGACCCTTCACCAGAAAAGTTACATACACCTTTAATTTAGAGAGGTTTTGGAATAACATGAGTCTGTGTTTTACTTAACGCTCTTCTCTAACCTGACATCACCAAACTCCAGACTCCCGCCCCTCCCTCAGTGTGCGCAGAGGTAAATACAGAGCCTGGTCCTGTGTGTAAGCTCTCGTCTGGACTCATCTCACTGTGGCCCGTACACAAGCATCAACCTCTCCAAAACACAAGCACACCACTACTGCACTGCAATCAATACTGACTCAGACGATTACTTTTAAATGGCATTTATATAAGCTTCATCCTGGATTGTTTGTTTGTCTGATGTTTTTTGAGGCTTGGTATTTATAGTATTTAAAATAATATTAATACTGGTTTGTTAAAGATGCACAATGAAACTTTTCTGGTAGAGGTTCTGCCACATACTGTCTCCAAGAAGAATAAAGGAATGTTACAGTGTGTGGCATTAAACCTGCATGTATTCAATTACAAATGTCTTATTGCTAAAAAAATGTCTTGAGGAACTTGTACACTTACAATGCGTTGGGCTAGTGTCCTGTCGATTTGAGCTACCTGTCGATTTGATTTTAAATGTCATCGATTTGAGCTCCCGAGGCAGAAGTGGATTAACAAGTAACATTTTAAAAGTGTATTGGTTTTATTGTGAATGGATTAAATGGATTAAACAGCACAGCGTTCATGATCTTGTTTAGGAGTTAGATTTTTTAACAAAAAGGTGAGTGATATTAATGATGATTATTGTGTGAGAAACTATTTCAATAGTACAGTTCAGTTCATCTGTTTTAGCTCCAACTAAGTCAACACTTTCTGATCAGATTGCCTTAAAATAAAACTCAGATTAAAGTCTCAAACAGAGCAGAGCCTCTCGTTAATGTTGACGACATCGGCTGCAAAGTTTCAACACTAAAACATGTCTGAAAGCGTGATTTACCCTTATGGAAGTGTCGCCCCTTTAGTTTGAGAAAGTACTTTTAATATTTCACCCAAAGAACGAAAAGAACATCGGTTTGGTACAATGTGTTTTGTTTGGGGGGAGAAGTTATAGAGGGTGATTTGTGATTGTGATTCTGCATTAGGAATCTCATCTGTCTCTTGTCTCCCTCCCCCTCTCTGTCTCTCTTACTCTCCGTCGCTCTCTCCCTCCCTCTCTCCTCAGGTGGCTCCTTCCTCCTCAGGCCCTTAATGCCTACTACCTCCCTAACAAGAACCAAATGGGTGAGTGTCTGATCTCCATGGTACATACTGATAAGAACACAAACAACATTGTCATTCCGCCTTATGCTCCTCTGTCTTACACTTAATCAAACAAGCTCCAGAAGTCTGTGTCTGTACAAAACAAAGGCTGAGACCTGCGTGCACTTACCAAGCACCGCAAACTGAAGAAACACTACATATAAGACTTAACAAAGCATGCAGACATCTTTAAACGTAAAAAGTTTGTGGTTTAATAAAGTACATTGTATTTAGTTCTTAAACGGCATACTAAATTGAATTAAATTAAATTAACTCTTGTGCGCTTTAATGATGTTATTGCTTTGTCTGGAATGTTTCACAGTATGGCATTAAAACTTTTTATCTTCACGGAGATCAAACCAGACCATGTTACAGATCAGATCTGTGGAGAGGCGACCCCGTTTACAGTCACAATGCCTGTTTTTCGAGGTATTTTTGAGCTATAAAACCACCTGTAATTGAAAAGTAGAGCTGGTAAAATCTGTGCATCATTCGATCATTCGTTTTTCAAATTAAAACCAAAAATAAGAAAATGAAAAAACAGCTATTTTCTTCATTGTTTGTCTCCAAAGCCAAAATGAAAAAAAAAAAAAAAAAGGATAACCATTTGTTTTGTCAGTTTCTGATTTTGTGTTTAATTGAATAATTTAAAAAAAATGGATAACGGACGTTTCTCGTTTCCGTGACTTAAACTGTGATGCCGGACTTTTGTGACGTATATGGTCAGATCCCAGGGTTGAACCAGGACTAAAACAGGACTAAACCAGGTCTAAACCAGAACTGAACCAGGTCTAACCCAGGACTAAACTAGTCTCAGTAACTGTCTCAGTCCCGGTCTGAGTCCTGGTCTCAGTCCCAGTATGGTCCCAGTCTGGTCTGGTCACCCGACAGCCTCTGGGCCCATCCCGACACTTCTGGTTTAGTCCTGGTTTAGTCCGGGACCAGACCAGGACTGAGACCGGGACCAGACCAGGACAAGATTAGGACCGAGACTGGGACCAGACTAGGACTGAGACCAGGACTGAGATCGGGATCAGACCAGGATTGAGACCGGGACCAGAACAGGACTGAGACCAGGACTGAGACCAGGACTGAGACCAGTTTAGTTCCGGTTTAGTCTTGGTTCAGTCCTGGTTCAGTCTGTATGCCACCCAAAATTCCAGCATTCCAGCAACGGCCGTTCTCCGTTTTTTCCATTATTCATTTAAAAACAAAATCAAAAACTCAAAAAACTCATCGTTATCCTTTTTTCATTTTGGTTTTATAGACAAATAATGAAGAAAATAGTATTTTCTTTTTCATTTTCTTATTTTTGTTTTTATTGTGTAAAAAAAAATAAATGAACGAACAATACACGGACTGTATAACATAGATCAGAAAATTCCATATGTGTCATTCATAGTTTTGACACGTTCAGTGAGAATCTACAATGTAAATAACCATGGAAATAAAGAAGAACCAAATGAAAAGTGTGTCCAAACTTTTGACTGCCAGTGTCAGTCTGTATCTTGTGTAAATTTTTGGGAAACAGAACTAACCCTGGGTCACTGTGTGTGTATTTTTAGACTAAACTGTATTTATAAAGCCGTGAAATAAGCACACTTTATTGTGAATTCATTCCCTCCCACACTGCACACTGCTCTCTGACCCTTGCAGTTTCTCAGTTTCTTCATTTAACCTCAAGCTGCACTGCATACATGTTCTAATGGAGGGTGCCTTGTAAAAATTTAAATATTTCTGAGCAATAAAAACATCTGTAGTTATATCAATTCTTAGAGCTATGAATGTAATACCATACTCCAGAACTTTCAAGCAAAGTAATAACATCCTGGAGACAAGCCAGATGCAGACTGTGCTTTAGAAAAGTTCCATAGTGCGCCTTTAATTTGGAGACCACACAAACCACAAAACCTTTTCGATTTTCTCTTGGTCCTGGTTGAGATTTGGGCTGGTCCGGTCCGTCTGCTCCAGGATTTAATCTCTTTGTGCAGAGTCAGTGGTGTGTTCATGAGCTAAAGCCTGAGAGCACACACACACACACACACACACACACACACACACACACACAGAAACACACACGCACAGAGAAACACAGAGAGAGACAGGAGGCAAACACAGACATGGCCCAGAGGTCACTGTGGGGCTCTTCTCACTCTGCACCTACAACACAGGTGAACTCTGTAATGGTTTAGTTTTAATATATCATCTGTGTTTCATTAAAGCTCCTATAGTACACAAAACTGACACTTGTGAGCTTTAAGTCATGTTACCACAAAAACATACCTTTTGTTTCATTCACACATGTTTTATTAACCCTTTATTATTAGTCTGCCTTCATCTCCAAAACTCAAAATACTGTTAGTTTTCAAGTTAACAGCTCCCTTTTACCTTTGCTTGAGTAGAGATTGACAATTCCAGGGATGAAATTATCCATATGAGCACTTCCTGTATTACCACATAGGGCTGGGAACCGGTAGCCTGATTCATTATCAGGTTTCAGTTCATGGAAATTGCCTGACCTTGCAGCATTAGGGTTTGTTCGCTCGATAGTAGGCGGGTACTTTTTTTATTTAACCAATTGCTGCTATTTGGTCATGATATATGTAATGCGCTAAATCCTGTAGGAAGAAGAGCAATAACGTCTTTCCCCTTGATAAAATTCGCCAAACACAGAATGTCTGTCTTCGTCTACATCCATCTCGACCGCTTTGTTTACTGTTGTGTTGTACCACAAAAGGGACCCAGACAAGCGCTTGGGTTTGACGTCATGACTTCACAGCTCTTCTCTGATTGGCCGGTGCCAAAGTGGCGCCAGCCTGTCTAGGAATCCGAAATTCAGTTCCAAGTAGGAACCGAGAGTTTAGGTTAGTAAGAACTGAAGCGCATGTGCGTAAAAATGCTGTCAAACAAATAATATGAACCAAAGTCAAAAAATTCAGCTTCTCCGCAGTCCTGGTAAAAGCATAATTCCCAAATGTGGTTTCATATCCAGTGTAGAGCACTTGTGCATACAGATGTAAAAGACCGTGTAAAGTTCTTCATTATCCTGCTCCTCCGTCCAGGTAACCTCGCAGTAAAAGAGTAGTTATTTATCAAAACAAAAAGCACTTGCAGAGTGCTGAATTGAATATAAAGCTGTCTGAAAACAAAAGCAAAAATTAATCTCCTGTGAGGATCAGCTGTGCACTCTGGTTCCTTTGCATTTGTTTAAGGTTATAACTGAACATAGCATAACCTAATACTATGTTTTAAAATTTACATAATTATAACATAATTCAAGGACGGAAAAGTATTTTCTTAATATATTGGTCATTAATTACTTAAAAATAACCATTCAGGAACTGGTATCATAAAGCAGGTATTGTTAAAATACTGGTATTGAAAAAAAATCAAACAGCACAAAGCCCCACCACCACATGACATCACAAGTGTGGAACAGAATGTTTTCAGCTTGAGAGAAGAACTGAGCTCATGTCCGCTCAGGTTCAGCTGGTTTCCTGGTTGGACATATAAATTTATGTAATGAGACTATTTACTGGTGGCAGTTGGCCCAGAAAGTCTCATAATGTTTGAACTTCTTTTTTATACAGAGCTGTTCAGTACTGACTTGAGAGATAAATAACAGATATAAAACACATTTGGACCAATTTTGACTTATGTTATTTTACTTTAAAGGAAATAAAGGCTGTTTTCAGTCTCTGCACTGGTATCGGAGAATATCGGGCAGAGGTGGGGACATGCAAGTCGTGACTTGGACTCGAGTCACACTTGAGTCACTATTTTTAGGATTTGAGACTTGACTTGATAAAATGGACTAAGACTTGGGACTCGACTTGGACTTGAAGGTCAGTGACTGGGAACTTGGCCTGTGACTTGAGAAGATTTGAGAAACACTTTTAAATCTAAATTTGTTCTATTCTGACTGCAATGATAAAGGACAAAATTTAATTTCTACAACTTTTATATACTCTATAAATATATGTAAATATACTATGACTTTATAAGTACAATTTATCTTATGTCATATAAAGCAGATGACTTGGATTATAAACCAGTGACTCGAGACTCAACTTGGATTTGCCTGCATTTTACTTGGGACTTGACTCGGACTTGAGGTCAAAGACTTGGGACTTACTTGAGACTTGCAAAACGATGACTTGCTCCCACCTCTGATATCGATGTAGGCAGAATCGGAGTATCGGAATCAGTATCGGAACTGAAAAAGCTGAATCGGTGCATTCCAAATCTGCTACTTGTACTTTCCTTCTACAGTCTGTGGGAAAACTGAAACTATTGGATAATTTGACATTTATAAATTCATTCAAGACGGTGCAAAATACATTTTTAAAAATCATGATGGAAAGAAATGACAAAATAAAAAGTTAACAAGTTTAAAATTGAGAGAGAAATATAGGAATTCAAACCGTACAATAGCCTTTATTTCTATATTTGTCAAAAACTTATATCTCCCCAACCAAAGACATTTATTAAAAGAGCATTTGCCAATTTTGACCTGATGTCTTATAACTTGAAATTGTGTTGAATAAATTTTAAAATATTGGATCAACGCACTATTTAGCAAATGTGCCAGGGATTATTTCATATGAACTGCATTTTTCACAACCAAACAACAACATGTCAGTCATTTTGCATATTTAAAGTGCCTATGTTATTTTAAGCTATTTTCTGATCTATTTTATTTATAATGTTGTTTCCTCATCACAAACACAGACCTGGAGTTGTGTTTGTTTCATTCACACATGTTTAACACACAAACCTTGCAGATTTAGTCCCAGATAGTCCCATAATGCACCCTCACGATCTTATTTTACTCGTGCAGATATTAACTGCGAGCGAGCAAATTATATCTGCACGTGAGGAGAAATCTGTGACCTATGCACAAAACAACCACTGGGGGCAGAAGCAACCTCGAAAAGACAACAAGTTCTCTCGAAGTTGATTTCTGCTCGCGCAAGGTTCAT